TAAGCCATGACAGTACGTATTTGATGTTATGTCTGAAATAGAAATTGTATAACCTACCTGACTGACTCCAATCGCTTGCGCACTCATCATGAAACACGAACGAACACAACGGTAAAAGTAACTGTGTAAGTCAACGACCATGATTTCAAGAATCACTCCAACTATCTGAATCTTCGTCCTCGTCGCTTCCAGCCATTGCCTGCATCAGAGTAACACCAGTTCAGATGTGTGCGCGATCGAGTTTAAGATACTAACTCAGTGTTTCCACTTAAGCTTGTGAAATCAAAACGCTTTGACATGAGCCCTCTAGGTCTAGCAAGGATCACTACAAAAACTCAGACAAAAATTTACCATCTTAAAGGAGGTGGAACGAGAGTAAACGGACCTGGCGTATCGTGTTTGCTTTCTCTAAGATTGCAGCCACTCTTAAGTTAGTTTTAGGACCAGTTTGAATGCTGGGACGTGTCGCTACTGCAGGCTTCAGATTGACAGACTGCATAAACGAAGACAAGGTCATAAAACTCGAAATCTAAAATTCTGTTAACCGACATTTCGAAATTGCATGTGTAAGGTAAGAACAATGTGTGCTATACCTTGTTTCGTATTTGTGCAAGCAATGAATCTTTGTCATCTTGCTTTGATTTGATTGGTGGTTGGACCCTCTCAGAGACTTTCTTCATCTGGCAAATCATCAGAACAAGGGATTAGAGACATATCTTAGCAAAGACATGGTATTGCAAACAAGATGTAATTCTTACCGTGCGTCTGTCATGAGCTGCAACGGCATCAACAAGCGGACTTCTTGGCCGAGGAAGCTTAACCATAGGGACCTCTTCTGGTTTATTTGTGTCCAAGGTAGGCGCAACAGTGAACGCGCCGACAGGCCACATAGCATCTCCCACTGAAACAGGAATTATCTTCTGAACTAATGAGCTTGATGGTTCTGCAGTCTCTGGATTTGAAGCATCAGGAACATAATGGCCATTATCTTCCACCTTTGTTGATTGAGTTGGCGTCAAGTCTTCGGTTTCAGGACAACTGTAATGACCTCCTGAGCTTTGTGACACATGCACTTCTGTGTCGTCCTTGAAATCTTCGTATTTCGCTACTGGTTCCTGAGGTAGCTGCGATGACGACTCTTGTGAACAAGCGACCTCTTGGTTCTGAGCTGCATGGTCAGCCAAAAGATTGTTCTCTTCAGAAGCAAAATCCTCTTTACGTCCCTGATTAGGCATTGTAGGGAGATTAACAGAAAGATCCACTGACTGAGTCCTCTGAGAGCCAAAACTGTCATATTGACTATTCAAATCAGTGCCAATGGTTGGGAACTGAATGGATGATTGCAACAGCCCTTCTGATGCATTGTTCACAAACTCTTCAGGAAGCTGTTCTGATTTGTCACTTCCTGGAGATACAGACAACTCTGATGGTTTAGACCCGATTGCAATATTGAAGCTAGAACCAACTGGTGGTGTCGCTGATGGAGCAGAACTACTGGTTTCAAATGATTCTCCCATGAAGGTAGGGAAAAAAGAATGTGGAGCCTTCCCAACGCGCCATTGCATAGGAGGAAGGGGCGGCAGCGGTGGCATGTCCTCCTGGTCGGGAGTAGTCTCAGGGATCAAACCAAAGCTAGGAAAAGTAGGATCCAGATTCAACTCTTGCTCAGGACTATTCAATACTATGCCTGCTGATTGAGGTAAGCCCCTGGAAACACTTGACAGCAGCAATTCCTCATCTGCAAATGCATCACTTGCACAAGGTGCTTGCACTTTAACTGACTGCTCACTCGTCACACTCTCTAAAAGGTTCAGATTATTCACTGGTGAAGAAGAATCAATGCAATTATCATCGAAAATGCTCTTACAAGGAGATTTGGTTTCTGTGTTTCCGTCACTTTGATCCAGTGATGTCATCGGACTTAAAGATTCACAATTTTCCACGTCATTATTGTCTAGGGCACTACCCAGACCTTCTAAAGACACTTCCAGTGGGCTCTCTTGCGTTTTTATCTCTGACTCTGGATTATTTTCTGCTTGTAGTGCCCCGTCGGACTCCACAACTATATCTTGACAAATCTTTCCAGCTTCAGAAGACGATTTATGAGTATTAGTCGAAATCCAAGGCAGAGAAGTTCCCAAACTAGTAAATGGCAGGCTGAAAGCATGGTTAACATCACCACTGGAAGTTTCAGAGTCATTATCAGACACAGCAAGCTCTAGATTCGGGACAATGTCCGTGGCTGCATTGTCCACCCCCGGAAGGTCATGAATGCCTTCATCATGCATAGAACTAGGATGAAATTCAACAGGTATATCAGAGATCTGTTCGTCGCATTTGCTACAAGCAGGTGAAGCATCTCCCACCAATTTCTCTCCTCCTGAGTTAAAATCAGAAGTCAGCTCACTATTAACTTCGGTAGGCACGGACATGCCAGTCTCGAGTTTGTCAACATCAGCAACTGAGTTTGGAGAATCAACGTCAGCAACTGCATTAGTCACTGCAACGCACTCGTTTTCATCACCAAGAGTATCTTCTAAGTGAATTTCATCTACTGTACTAGGACCACTAACTTTAGAGGGCATATCAGGTGAAACTTCCATCCCCATCCCAGGTGAGCAAGGTAACACTGTTCCTGTTAGGCTACTACCATCACAGCTTTTAGAATCGCTACCTGACTTTGCCAAGACATTGGAAGAAGCAATTGGAGAGTTGGTCTTATATTCAACATCATTATCTGCAACAGGTAACTGTTTACCTGCTTGATTATCAACAAACACTTGAGGACTAGTGCCTGAGTTTACTAAATTTGAAGAATAATCAACCATACAGCTCTTCTCAACGGTAGGATCATATCTGCTTCCTTCAGAATTTGAACTGATTGACGAAGTTTCAGAAGGAAAGTTAGAGTTTTTAACATCAAAAGTTGCACCGGATCTTGAAGAATCGATTGGATCCACCTCGCTTCCAACATTGCATCCCTTGCTAAGATCAAGTCTACCATATTCTGGAGAAGTTTCAACAACTTCTGGTGCTAAAGATTGAACAGAGAGTGAACACGATTCAGCATTCTGAGAGACTGGCCTTGGACTTGAACATTTATCATTCGAACTAAATGATGTCTGGCCATCTGCATTGCTGCTACTAACTGATTCCTGAACATTAAAATCATGAGATACTTTGTTGGCTTCAGGAGTTGCGTGAGACGTGGAATCCACCAGCTCACTCTTATAACTAGAAGTAGATGGTAAACGTCCAGAAATTTTCTCTCCATCAGATTGATCATCAATAGATATGCTTGCAGTGTCCGAGTAAGAAAAACTAGTGCTCTGCTTTCCAAACGAGTTTTGCCCATTTTCTGACACTGGTGTGTTTTCAACTGAATGGAAAAATGAAAACTGAGACGGGTCCTCCATTCTCTCTTCATCTACATCAGAATATGTATGATGGTTCCCATCCTTCAAAGCTTCTGATCTATTCTTAGGTCTACACTCATCCTCTGTTTCTGTTTCCGACTCCATGGTGGCTGGTGCATCCACATAATTGTCAGCCTCACTGGTTAAATCTTCAGAGTAACTCCTATGTTGAAGAAATCCTGGCTTTCCATTCATATTAGTCCGTGACTCCTTTGTAATAGTTGTACCAGAGACCTCCTTGTGAGTAGATTCAGGCACTGTCTCTATGTCTTTTTCAATAATACCAACATTTAAGTTAGAATTTGCCACATTTTCCTGCTCATTTGGCAATGAAACATCTCTTCTGCTTCTTCCATGAGACTTTTTACGAGCATCCACCATATTGATTTCAGGTATATCGGTTACTCCGTCTCTAACACTATCCATATTCCATGTAAACAATTCGGGGTTTGGGGAATATAAATCATAACCTGTTTTATTATCAACAGAAGTCCGCACAAATTTCCCCATGTAGCTCTCTCCTGACTTTGAAATAAGGGAATACCCATCCAGCTTTCTAGTTTTCAACTTCACAACTCGCGCTGGATCTGAATGATGAGTCTCTAATTGCTCCTCCATAAATAATTCATGCAATCTGTGCCATTTGAATGATTTGAAGCAACCATCATCAACTTAGGGAACTAAATGTATAGCTTAATGGAAATGACAATCATACAAGCCTTAAGATAAAAAATACCCACTTGGCATGTGATGTTACTGCATTTTCGGGTGTTCCTCCATTCCTCCAATGAGATGATCTCCTCTGCAAGAAATTAGAAGGAAAAACTATGAAAAGTGCACAGAGGAAGATAATATTACACATTCAAAACAACAAGAGCATAAGCATGCCCATTGGACCTGTCTAAGTTTAATCGGTACGCTTACACAAGAACATAAAAGAAACTACTTTTTCAGCAAATCTACCATGTAACGGAAACAAAAATAAAACCAAGAAGCATCAGATTGCAACCCACAAGCTACAGCCTAACTAAGAAGCTCCCTCTTTTGGCAGTACTACTACCTTTGCTTTCTGTGATTTTTTCTCTCTTTGAATATCATCCCATGTTGCTTCATATGAAGATGTTTCGAGCCTAACAAATGACGGATCAGTGTAGCGTTTCAAGCATGCCCCAGCTCCCGAAATATCAAATCTAATCAAAACAACACAAAAGATGTTAAATCCTCAGCTCTCACAAACTACTAGAGAAAAAAAAAGATTATTAAACAAGGTAAATCATACTTGTCCAGAAGAAACAGTCTAGGGGGACCCCGACATTCCTCATAAGAATCCATTACACAGCGGGGTAAGTCACCGCGTGTAACCACACTCTGCTCCAGTTGTAGATTCGGATGCCATTCCACACCTGAAATAGAGTTACAGAGTCGCTTGAAATAATCGAACAGCATAGCTAACCAGACCATATGAAAGAAGAAACAACACTCGCAAGATATAATGCCTCGGAAAGACAACACTCGCACATTGAGCACAAAATATCAGCAATCTTAATACTATTTCTATGGCATGTAGACAAAGCAAATATGTGTGAATCTAGAAGACAAACCAAGCTATCTTCTATTGCATTGCTTTCAAATAGAATCAACCTAAAACCCACAAAAGCAAGGATCAAGCTCTGACCTTTATTAGAAAAAAACGGTGAATGATCGGTCTGGCACAGTAACGTCTTCTCTATGTAAGGGAATTCAGCTTCAAGCTGCTGTACACGAGCCATAAGACCATGGCTTCTAGAAGCAGTTGCCATTACTTCTTCATGCAAGTCATGGAACATCTCAGCAGCAAACCTTCATCACAAAATAAGTCAAAATTCCATAAAAAAAAATTCAAACTTTTTAGAAAAAACCCTCAGATTCGTCAAACAATTTGACAATTCTTGCTTTAAATCTCGTGGGTCAAAAACAGTAGAACCAAAAACCCCGAATTCGACCCGATTTAAGCTCAATTACTGAAATTCACAACACTAAGAGGAAATCAAACAGTTAGAGATTAGAGAAACTTACTCGGCGAGATCACCGAGTTGACGCAAAATGCCAACGAGACCAGCCATAGCGACTCCTTCGAGGAGAGCTTCAGGGTCATCTTTATCGGCGGCTTGATACAGATCCGGATCTGCTAATCCGTACTCGTTGCGAGACTGGTACCTCGTCAACGGCATTTCTGATCAGCTCGCTTGTTCAACGGTGAAGGAGTTTACAAGAAGGATGAAGAAGAAAAACCCTACCAAAGCTTA